TTGGGTATAAGTTTTAAGTATAAGTTTTTATGGATATTTTTTTAAAAGGTAAATTTGGTAAAATGGAATAGTTGATATAGTTCGGTATCGATATAGTTTTATTGGTATTTATTGAATAAGGAAGTTCGTAGTGATATTTTTTCTACAAAATTCTTGGTAATAATTTTTTTCTGGTGTATTATTTCTGTTTCGACACTGGTATGTTATTGATACTTTTGTTGTCTTTTGAAATGGCTTTTTGGGTAAAACTCAATTGACTTGTCCGTAATGATACGCTTCGTCAATAATCAGCAGATACAGCTAAAAAATAAAGTATATAATAGTTTCATCGACATAGGTATAAATAGTCAAGAATTAAGTGATATACTCACAGTCTCAATTAAAATTTTTTTTCTCTTATGCCAATTTGTTTACTGCATGCCTCCTTGAGGAAAGTCCTGTCCCTAATACGAAATAAAGAAGTACTTCTACTTCGGTACGCAAAATTATCTGAAAAATTGAATGAATTTTTATTAAACGATAAAACTGCACTGCATTTACAATTTCAGTGATTATGATTATTGTGTCGAACCTTGTATTTTCGATGTTGGCTTTTTATGTTTGGCCGAAAAATAGGCGATATCTTTACAATTTCAATTGTTTGTTGTTGAATTCAGGAAATTTATTTAATACAGACACTTCTTAGTTGGAGCCGTATTATTGCCATCAAGCGATGAATTGTCATGTAGCTAGAAAAAATTGTTTGAAAAATGTAATACATTTGCATAACCTTCAATTACACATTATAACGCATTTGATGATTTGATTTCTTAAAATCAATTATGTTGAATCTTTTACTTTTAGAAAGGGAAAAGGTTAAGTTATTGATAGAATATATAGTTAATAGATAGTTATTGACATGAATATAGTAAATTGATACTTACATAGCGTGTCAAAGCCACCGTGAACCAAAAAAATACGTTCTCACACAATGCACGTAATTTTTCTATGATTTAGCAGCGTTAGGTTATGATCTATGAAGAATTCAGTTCACGAAGGGATATTTAATAATAATAAAAAAAATTATGTCTGTCGTAAAACGAATTTTTTTTATTGATTACAATAGTCGTTTAGTTTGTACACTGAAAACATTTGATTTGATGTTTGCATGTGGTGCCCTCTTTTCTTCTTATTTTTTTTATTTTGAATGTTTGATCAAGTTGCAGAGGAAAGAATTATAAGGAAGAGGATACAGTCATAAATTCTCAGAAGGTCACAGAAATTGTCCATAAAAATTAGTATTCCATTCAACTTAACTAACAGAATATTTTTTTCTTTATTTTGAAACAAAAACTATTCTCTCCGACAATCACAATTGACGTTTTAGCAGAGTTTATAAAGAAACATATAGATTACATCACGTATTAGAATAATAACTATTTTTTATCACGTCATATCGCTCAAAATACTAATGCCAGTGAACACTTTATAGTCAACTTTGCTTTAAACGTGTCAACTTAAACTTAAATAAACGAAATTTGCAGTTTTTAAGCTATATTGGCACAAACCATCAAAAAAAAATAAAAAGTCGATAAGTGAATAACGAGAAGTGCACAATGAAGACTAATCTATCTTTGATTTCTGAAAGGACAAAAAAATAAACCATGTGAATGCGTTGATTAATGACTATTAGATATTTAGAAAGAATTTGAGAAATAATCATGACAGATTTTAAAAAAATTAATATAGAGGAAAATTACAAAGTTTAGAATGACAGTTTTGAAAATGAAAAAAAAAAGACTAATACCTTTCCATCATTTCCATGCGGTACGTCAGATGCTTCTCTTTTAACACTCGTCAATGGAGGAGCCTCGACTGCTTCATCCATTTCATCCTCCATCATATTTTCAACCCCAGGTATGATTTCGATGCAACTCATGTCTTTTGCATG